TGCAAAGGAGCTGGGTTAGATCCTTGACATCCCTTCTGAAGGGTATGATGACTACACAAGGCAAAGATGACCATGTCTAGACTCCCTTCCTACTGCCCTTGCAATCACTTGGAGATTCTGTGATGTTGCAGAAGTGAATGAAGCTAAGGCCGTGTAGAAGAGTGAAATGAAGCCATGCCACAAAGTCTTGTTTGAATTTGTCAACAAGTGTTTGCTGCCTAGACAGGAAAGAAGACACACTGCTAATTACATGGACTTGGTGTTGATGGAGTATCTTGAAAGTGTAAGGAAGATCAACTGGCCTGCATTTATTATCAAGCTACTGGACAGGGTTATCAATGGCTCCAAGGCCCATGCTACTCCTTATGGTTTTATTCTGACTACTGTTCTTGATCGCTGCAAGGTGCCACTGAAGAAGTGGGAAATGGCCACAAGTAAAGATCATTTTGAAATCAACACTTTGATTGCTTGTGATAATGAGATCAATGCCATTCCCAATGAACCCGGTTCATCTAGCAGAGGCTGAAGGCTCACCTAGCAGAGGTTGAATCTAAGAGGGATGCTCTCAGAACTGAGCTCACCAAGGAAAATGAGAAGAATGATGGCATTCTTCAAAATATGATGACCCTTCTCCAAGCCCAAAACCAACCCGCTAGCTCTCCCAAGCCTTAGGACTTCTAGCTTTCATCTCCTGAACCTGTCTAGTACCACCAGTGATCCAGATTAGGGACTTCTCTTTCTTTTGCTCATGTTTTAAATATTTTTGCTTTCTTTTTGTGAATTGTGGTAGCAACATATCTCCTATCAATAAAATCTACTATTTTTGTTCTTGATTGATTGTTAATATATCCTTGATAGTTTGAATATGTTTGGTTGATTACTGATGATTAATCCATCATTGCACTTGCAGTTGTCCTCAGTGGCCATGAGTAATTGTTAAAATTCTGGGAATCACACTTTGTTTATGCAACTTTTCGATGATACCAAAAGGGGAAAGAGATATTGTGCTTTATATATTCTTAATAAGTGATGCTTATAACATAATGAACCTGGTCCTTGATGATAGGTAAAATTTTCTAACTTTGTATTGATGGACAAGCTAAGTTCTGATAGGGCCTAAGTGAGTGAAAAGCACTGAGTTTGTCATCATCAAAAGGGGGGAATTTGTTGGCCCAAGTAAAGGTGAAGTTTTGAAGACTGACGAAGGAACTCAAACATGGACCAGGTCCATCTTGTGAAGCACAGTTATGATCAACTCAAACATGTGAGATGCACGCGAAGGAGATAAACCTAACTTATCAGAAATGATATCTCCTGATCATGGAAAGTAGGTCGTGGTTTTATCACCTTTTGAGCCAAGCATTTCCACGTAAAATCTCCATGTTCTTTATTTTCTGTATTTATTATTCCGCAACAGTAGTAGTTGGAACACATAGAAGTGTTGGGATATATACTATTAACCATGGATTTGGTTTAGATATAGTATTTATTATGATAATATTGTTCATTCAATTTTAATAAAGTTTTAATAGATCATATATTAGTCGGTGTCCTTTGCTTATATAGTAGATGATTTAGTGTATAGAGTTTAGCTTATACACGGAAGATTAAATCATCGGTTCTTATAAGTATAAAGTTTGAGTTCACAATCTAATGATGAATTGGACAAACAATCAGGAATAACTGTAGCACAAGATTAAATATAATTTATCTTCATTATGGGAAGGGTTTAATTCCAACTTCTTGTGCTAGTACATTTTGTATGTATTGAACGGACCAAGTAGAGATAAGTATTTTATACTGACTTAATAAAATAAACTCTCTAGCCTTTAAACGTACTTATACTCTTAATCTTGATATAATTATTATTATATGTGTATATTATTATTGTTTTGATTTATTAAAAGGCGAGATTCTTTCGTGGGTTAATATGCATGGTAAATTGGACAATAATAATGTACATTGGCGAAGTTATAGTTAGTTGATGGAATCCATGTCTCGGTTTAGAGATTGATGATACACCTTTATGAAAGCTTATAAGTTTTCATATGTAAACACGGCCGATGGATTGTGTATCTGATACATGAAATAAGTTAAGCGAAAGTCTAAAGGAAATAATCAATAAATTAAATCGTTAGTAATTTAATTTAATTAATTGATTAGTATCTAAATCTTAACATGGGGAGTTAAATAAGATTTAATGGAGGAATTTCGAAATTGAATAAGGAGTGCACGTACGAATTTTTAGTGGAATAATTCGTAATTAATTATGGTGGATATTAATTTCGAAAATTATAAATTAATTTCATAATTGGAAGCCTTGTTAATTAAATTTTGTGGTCCCTGTTGTGCCTAAATAATAGGAAATAAAGGAATCATTTTTCTGGTAGAAAAGAAAACCTAACAGGTTTTGGAAAAGGGTTTTAACCCTTAAAACTTGTGCTGTAAATATATAAGGTTTTCCACCTAAATGACGAGAGAAAAAGGGAGCCGAAATTTTCAGCCTATTTTCCTATAAATTTTCGCCCACACGAAATTACTATTTTCGGATATTATTTGGGTAGCACAGTAAAAGACAGTGGAACGTTCGGAGATCGTGCTCATGCGGGTGATGGAGATTTCATCGAATTGATGTGGAATTGGAGGCTCACGTGATAAAGGAACTTTGTCCACGCTTCAAGAGGTAACCCGTGAAATCCCGTTTATACTAATTGTGTAGATTACATGTGATTTTGATACTTGGATTGCTTCCGCTGCATAAATTAATCCGTCGTTAACAACTAAAAATGGAAGTTCAATCCAGTTAATAATTCAGCTTGTTTTGATGAACAAAAAGACATTTGAATGACCCAATTGACTTAACATATATATGGTTTTGTCTTGCATAATTGAGCATCTGGTTTTTTATTAATAAGAAGAAAAAGTTAAGGAGTATTTCGTGCAACAATACCTAAGTATCGTTTGCTTCATGCCTACTCCAAAGTGGTAATAAAAAGAATACGAAATTGCTGAATCTAGAAGCTTTTCTGATGAAAGTTCAATTTCACGATAATTATTGATAAAGTATGACGATTCCATCTAATTAAGTACGCTAATAATTTAACTTAGCCGCATGAATTGCAGCATAATTGATATATTTAGCATTAATTTGGCAAATGATCAATAAAGGCACACGCTATTTGAATTATGTGATTTCAATTGATGTTTCACTACACAATGAGTGATTTTGCGATGTTTCATGACAAAGGTAGGGACATATTAAAATTGAAAAAACCATGAGATGCACTGCCTGCCAATATATATAGTAGTGTATTAATATGGGTGCAGCCTTCGTAGAGTCTTTTCTAATTATGTCCAAATCCAAGTAAGTAGCACTAATTACTATAGCTAGATTTAGTAAAAGCACATGTTAATTGAATCGTGTGATTTAAATCTTCACACCTTAACTAAGATATGAATTTTAATTCTCAAAATTACGTAGCATGAACAGCAGGTGAAAAGTCAGAGATCAAAAGGGGTTTGTCGTTTGATATGTCATTAATATGAAGTGACATTTTCCGTTGCATGCGGTGGAGGCAAGATTTACGCTAAAGGGGCTCAAAAAAGAAAAACACTAAAACATTCAAAGAGATTAGTGTAGTTAATGAGAATTGAATCAATGACCTAACAAAGGCTTTGAACCCCTTTGACCAATAAGCTATATTTTAGGATTGCAACGAAATATTCAAAATATAATATATAGAGGTAAAAAATATATTTTATCTTATATATACAGTGTAATTTTTTGACGAAGGTCCGCCCCAGTCCGTCGCTATTATATATGTTAGGAAAACAGTTTTATGAATAAAACTCCACCCAAATATTCCAATTATGTGGTCGGCCGGGTAAGTAATGACTTACGCAGATACTGATAGATAGCTAACGGTGTAAAAATGTGCATTCATGTAATGTAAGGAAGGCAGCGAAACCAGACAAAGAAGGAAGCACAACATATGCATGCACTTAGAGAAACAAAACAAAGAGGACAAAACTTCAGAAAAGGAAAGGCAATTAATTAACCAAGTTGTTCAGCTGCTGGGGTCAAAATATGTGTAGAACGAAGAAGTTAAAAAGGTGGCTGGTTAGGACTTTTTTTGGACTTGAGTTCCAATTTCCAGGGAATTACTCAATAGTTTGTCGACAATTCAAATCTGCTATCTGACTTTCCTCTTTCGCACCGATGGCCGGCAGTTCGTTAGATTAGGGGTATCAAATGGGCGGGTTGAATAATTCGGGTCAAAATGGTTTGAGTCAATAATTGGGCGGGTCATTTTGACCCGTCCAAAAGTTATTTGGGCTAAGATGGGAATGGTCAAGATGCGCTAAATTTGGGTCATTGCCAACCCGCCCACCATTTATCAAGCTTTATTTAATATGTGTTGTTTTCTTATGAATTGTATAATTACTAAATAAGACTTTTTTACTTGAAAATTAGGTGAATTTTCTCTCTCTAAAACCGTTTCTCTCGGCGCTCGATTAGGTGATCTACTAACGTGCGTTGCTCACCGGAATGGGAGGGCGAGGAAGACCACGGAAGCGAGTAAACAAGGTACTAATCACAGATCCCAAGCTACTCGAGGAACTGAAGATTGGAACGGGAAGTGGAAAATCACCAAGTGGAGGGAATCTCCATGGATCTGCTACGAAGCAAGCAATGGAACAGGAAAATCAATTGAGCAAGCACGAACTGGAGGTCACGCCTACAGCTGGGAAGGGGAAATCAATTGTAGCTATGGATGAATTAAGCACATGCAAGAGGACTAACAATGGAGATGGTACTAACTGCCATGCAGGAAGTACCTCTGGGGTGAAAGATGTGATATAGCAGAGTAATGGTTCTAAAAACAATGGATCTAACAACAAGGAGAAGGAACACATTCAAAAGGTAGCGGAAAAAAGAGAATCAGCCGACGGAGAATGGAAACATGCAAACCTGGGCAAGTATAGTTACTGGAAGTAAAATGGCTTCAAAAGGTATGAATCTGAGATATATTCCACCAAGCATCCAGGAAGGGAAGACAATTGTGAAATTGGAGCAGGAGGATATAGAGGAGAAGATCGAGAAATGGAGAATGGTTATAATTCTGTATGGTGTTGGAGCATCTCCATCGATAGGAGCAGTGGAGAGATTCTTAGTAACACAGTGGAGATTTGCAGAGAAACCTAGAATATACTATCATAATGATGATTGTTTTGTCATACGGTTCAACAACAGAGAGAACAAGGAGAAGGTATTGCTATCAGATCCAAGCACACTCAACAACAGGCCAGTGATAATAAAGGAATGGGCGGCAGACTTTAATTTTCAGAATGAAGTACTCAAAACCATACCAATTTGGGTGAAGTTCCCTAATCTTCCCTTAAGCTGCTGGGGTATGAAGGCACTAAGTAAAATCTGTAGTGGCTTAGGTACTCCTGTATATGCTGATGAGTGTACCACCAATATTGCACGCATATCATATGCAAGGGTCCTTATTGAAATGGATATCACTAGAACACTTCCTAAGAGCATTGTTGTGCAGGACCCTAAGGGAGGGGTATTCGAACAGAAAGTGCAATATGATTGGCAGCCTGAGTATTGTACAACATGTCTGCAAATAGGCCACAATTGCAAGAATAAAAATGAGCAGAAGCAGCCAGTACTAGGCCAAAAAGGAAAACAAGCAAAACCTATACAAGTCTGGAGGAGAGCTGATCAAGTGAAGACAAGTGATAAAAAGAATGAACAAATACAGGAAGCAAATGGGAAAGAAAATGGTGGGAAAGATGCTGAGAACAAGGAACATGCAAAAGCAACAGTACCACAGGCAGAAGGATGGACAATGGTGAAAACAAAATCAGCTAGCAAAATGGCAAAAAATGGAGGTAACACTGATAAAGAGATAGGTACAACAAATGGTTTTAGCTCATTAGAAAGATGGGCTGAAGAATGCCAAGTAATAGGACCACAAGAGTTTAAACAATGTGCAAGGGGACAGAGTAGCCAAGGGGTTGAAGGAAGTCAAGGCAATTTCCCTCCATTACTAAGATGAAAGTCATCGCTTGGAATGTGAGGGGGGTGAACAAGACTTATAAGCAAAAGGAGTTAAGGGAGTTTATCAAAGTAAATAGAGTAAATGTTATAGCTATTATTGAACATAGAGTGAAAGAATGCAAAGAGAGACAAGTGATTAATAAAATAGTACCTACTTGGGAAGGGATCTCAAACACTTCTCTGAACAATAAGGGGAGAATATGGCTACTATGGGATCCAAAAGTTGCTATAGTGAAGGAAATTAATATACATAGTCAGTACATACAAGCTGAAATTAACAGTACTACTAATGCAATGACCTATCATTTTACTGCTGTATATGGCCTACATACAGTGCAGGATAGAAGGAATTATGGAGGAAGCTCAGAGAGGTAGAAAGCAAGCAACATGAACCATGGTAGTAATCGGAGACTTCAATGCTATTCTTGAGGTAGAGGACAGAACACATGGAACTGTGGTGCAGGACCAAGAGATAAGAGATTTTAGAGAATTCATGGAAGAGTCTGGTATGACTGAATTGAAAGCAATAGGGAGGTCATTTACTTGGACAAACAGCCATGTCTTTAGCAAAATTGACAGGGCAATAGTGAATGGAGAGTGGATGAGCAAGATGCCTATTACTCAAGTACATGTTCTAGACCCCTATTTCTCTGATCATTCCCCCTTATGCATTGAGTTGGGAAGTCAACAAAAAATAGCACCTAGACCATTTAGATTCTTGAATTATCTGGCTGATGATCCAAATTTTGAGATGATAGTCGCAGACAGTTGGCAGATGAGTACCAATGCAGGACACATGAAAAAAGTATGGCTGAAGTTGAAGCATGCAAAACAAGCAATGAAGAGCTTAAATACAAAGGAGTATCCTAGGATTGTTAACAAAATTAAAGGCATCAGGAGTGAACTTCAAGCAACACAACAACAAATGAGAACACCTACTCAGGATCCATGTCACTTTGAAGTGGAAAAAGAACTAAGGTTACAGCTGGAGAAATGGGATGCAATAGAGGAAAGCATTTATAAACAGAAGTCTAGAGTACAATGGCTTAACTTAGGAGACTCTAACTCAGCTTATTTTTTTGCTAGCATAAAGAACAGGAGAGCTCAGAACCAGATCAAAACACTTACGAATGCAGCAGGAGATATTGTCCAAACAGAGAAAGGAATAGAAGAGGAGATTATAAATTTCTATCAGGGACTACTGGGGCAGCCAATACTATACTACCTGCTGTAAATCTAAATGATATGAGGAGAGGACCTGTGCTATCAAGGAAACAACAAATGCAGCTCATCCAGCCATTTAGCAGAGAAGAAGTATGGCAAACACTTCAGGGAATAGATGATAATAAAGCTCCGGGGATAGATGGATTCAATTCAGTATTCTTCAAGAAAGCATGGGCCACGATTGGGGAAGAGGTAACTGAAGCTGTGCTGGAGTTTTTTGATACTCAAAAGCTCTATCAACCAATAAACTGTACAACTATAATATTGGTGCCTAAAATAAAGAATCCTACATCAGTGAAACAATATAGGCCCATCTCTTGTTGCTCCACATTATACAAAATCATATCCAAAATGCTTACTAGTAGACTACAGGGAGTCATGGATAACATTATTGATAAAAGTCAAGTAGTTTTTGTTCCTGGCAGACTTATAACAGATAATATAATCCTAAGTCATGAATTAGTGAAAAGATATGGGAGGAAAGGAGTGTCATCAAGATGCATGATTAAAATTAACATGCAAAAAGCCTATGACTCTATTGAATGGGTATCTTTAGAGCAAGTCCTGCATGCACTTAACTTCCCAGATATGTTTGTGAAATGGATCGTGGGGTGTCTAACAACAGTGTCATACTCAGTCATTATAAATGGTAAACCAAGTGTTCCATTCTATGCTAAAAGAGGATTAAGGCAAGGTGATCCCCTGTCACCTTTCTTGTTTGTGATAGCCATGGAGTACCTAAGCAGATCTCTAAAGACTTTGGCAGGGAATCCAGATTTCAACTATCATCCTAGATGTGCTAAGCTGAACATTATACAGTTGGGGTTTGTAGATGATTTGTTATTGTTCTGTAGAGGGGATGTAATGTCTGCTCAGCTACTATACAAACAATTCCAGCAATTCTCTATGGCTTCTGGACTAATTGCAAATCAAGGAAAGAGTGTTGTATATTTTGGTGGAGTACCAGAATAGATACAAGAGCAAATTATAAAGGAGCTAGGTTTTTCTGCAGGAACTATGCCTTTCAGATACTTGGGAGTGCCACTGAGTTCAAAAAGGCTAACCATTGGGCAATGCCAGCCACTTATGGAAAGGATGGTAGGAAGAGTAACCTCATGGACAGCAAAAATGCTCTCTTATGCAGGAAGATTACAGTTGATTCGAAGTGTACTCATAGCTATTCAACAATTCTGGTCACAAATTTTTATACTACCAAAGAAGGTGATGCAAAAAATAGAACAGATCTGCAGAAGGTTCTTATGGAATAGGAATAATGAATGCTCAAAGAAGGCTCTAATAGCATGGGATGAAATCTGTCTGCCAAAATCAGCAGGGGGGCTCAACATAGTTGATATATACACATGGAACAAGGCTGCTATACTTAATCATTTCTGGAACTTATGTAAGAAGAAAGACAGGTTGTGGGTTCAATGGGTACACAGCTACTACATAAAAAGGGCTCAAGTATGGGACAGTCATGCTACACAAGCATCATGGCTAATACAGAAACTCCTAAAATCTAAGCAGTACTTGGAGGAAGCAGGGGTAACTAAAGAGGAATTCCTAAAAGAAGAGAAATATGGTATCAAGAAAGTGTATAACAAGATGAGAGATAAATATCCTAAAGTGGAATGGAGGAAACTGGTATGTAACAACCAGGGCTGCCCAAAATGGATATTCATATTGTACCTTGCACTACATGATAGACTATACACTAAGATGAGATTGAAGAAATGGAATATGGGGTATGACACAACATGTGCATTATGTGACGGTGAGGAAGAAGACATCCAGCACCTGCTCTTTAAATGTCCAGCTACCTCTCAAGTGTGGCAAAAAATACTGGATTGGCAAGGAGTGCAGAGACAAGCTATGGGATGGAAGGAAGAAGTGGAATAGGCTGGGAAAAATGCTTCTGGGAATAGTGCACGAGCAGAAATATATTGCATGGCCTTAGCAGGTAGTGTGTACTATGTATGGTTAGAAAGGAACAGCAAAATCTTCCAACAAAAAACAAGGCCAGTAGCAACTATAGTAAGACATACATTGCAAGGGGAGAAGGAGAAAGAATTTGATGCAAATGTTGAAGCAGTTAGATTACTATCCTAGTTTAGAGGAGTAGAGGATATAGCATCATGTATAGGCTTTAATTTTGCATGCTTAGAAGATGAAGAAGTATACTGAAGTTGGGGCATCTGTCCAACTCCAGAGGTTTTTTACTTTTGTTATGGTCATATATAACAAAAAAAAGAAGAAGTTATTTCTATGATATTTTGGCAAAATTACTCATGGATCAATTTGGATTAAAAAGAAATAATTTTCGCTCCAACATTATTAGCGACTCGATATTGAAGTGCATCAAACTAAAACAGCTCCAGTTTCAAATTAAATGTTGATTTCTCGTAACAACTCAACTAGGACATAGGGATCAGCTGCAGAGAAAATATCACATGTATTTAATTTATTTGGTGTTTATTACATGTTCGAACGGAGACGAAAAAATGAGAAAAGAAAGCAACAAATTGCTGTAACCATCAATTTATTATAGACGTATGAAAATGGCAAGAAGGGGAAACAATTTAACACAAGGAAAGTGTTAGGCATGTGCATGGAATAGTAAACTTGGCACGGGAATGCGTGTGGAAAACAAATTTGTGTCAACAATAATGGCGTAGGAACTTACTTTTGGCTAAACGTGCAAGCTATATCTGCCTGATTCATTCAACTATCTAAACGTATGAAATTACATAGATGATTCCCTAAAAATACTTGAATTATACCAAAATTAGACCATTCTACAATAGAAATAAAGGTGAATTTGAAACCACCAAAGGATGTGGTGCAGTGGATGGGGCTGCTCCTCCCTTAACCAGATGTCTCGAGTTCGAGCCCTGGGTATGGAAAAATACTTGATAGGGAGAGCTACGCCGCTACCCCCCGAATGTGGCCTTACTCGGCGCGAATCCGGTATAGTCGGGCTCCAAGTGGGTACCGAACACCAGGTGGAAACCAAAAACAAAAAACGAAAAAAAGATATTTGAAAATATAATTGCATCATTGCATAATATTAGGTAATGCATATAATTCGAACCGAAATTAAGCAATATGGTATTGACCCTGTAAAAAAATAGCGCGGGCTATCCAGTTTTTGGATTGATAATTGAAAATAGCCAGCGTTTGCAAAATCATTAAAAATAGCCGCTATTTTGCTACAACACGGAAAGTTTCAGCATAATATACTGAAGATTAGAGCACATGTGTATGAACTTCCAACTTATGCTAGAACTCCAATATATTATGCTGGAACTCCACATGAAATAAGTTACTCCAATATATTATGCTGGAATATTTTTTGCATTTGAATTGTATTTTCGTTCAAATTTATCTTTTAATGAAAATTGACTAAATTTCGATTACTTTTGACATTGTGATTATTTTTCAATTATCACTTATAAATCTAGCTATTTTTAGTTTCACCCATTTATCCTTGATTAGAAAATTGACCGTATTGCCATTTTATACTATACGGAGTATATTAATTAACTTTACCGTGAAACAAATAGCATCGTCTTTTTATAGAAGACCAATTCTACTTGTTCTAACGGTGGCACTGGTGATGAGGAAGAAGTCATTTTCACGACCCAATAATAGTGACCAAGAATGGCAAGGCAAGTTATGATTAAATATAGACTTACGATAAAAATATTTTTTACAATATTAGTTCATCCAAAGTACAGTCAAACCTTTTTATATAAAGCTCATTTGTTTCGAATATTTTTGGATGTTATAGTAAAGTGTTGTTACGGAGAATATATATTATAACATAACAAAAAAATTGGTTCCGGAAAAGCTTAACTTTTATAATGAAGTGTTGTTATATATGGATGTTGTTATAGAGAGGTCTGACAGTATAATACAGGTAAATATAACTTGATGATATTAAAAAAATGCAAGTCATGATGTATGTTAACTCACAGCTTTAAATACTCCACTATTTATGCTCATCTTATTTTCCAGTCAAAATTTAAAGAGTTTAAGTTCTTACAAATATATTTAATGCAAAGTCCAGGTGTTAGGAGTAATACCAGGCAAGAGTCCATTACTCAAATTGTCACTCAACTATTTAAAATTATCTCCTAAAGTCACTTTTCTTTAGTTTGTAACAACAAAGTTACTGAACTATGCTTATTGCACTCAGAAGGTCACTCAACTAGATTTTCCAAATTTTGGATTGCCTAATACCTATTTTACCCTCTAAATTTTAAACATTTATCATTTTTTTATTTTCTTAAACTTTTTAATATTATAATTTTTCCCTTTTTAATTTATATTATGATTTGCCTATAGAATAAATAAATATTAATTAAAAATTAAAAAAATAAAAAGTATTTAAGCATCTATAATGCTGGAATAACAAAATAATGAGCATAGTAAAAAATAAGTAAGAATAATTTCTTCGAAATAATAATTTTAGTATTAACAACAAAAATTTGAAAATTTCTTTAACCAATTCAAAATGAAAGAAAATAAAGGTTGTAAAGTATATATTCCATGCACGTAATATAAGAATAATTATTTAAATAAAGGTATTTTTATAATACACATTATATATTCTTAAAAATTATGCTCAATTATATTATTATGTTAGGGTAATATGACAATGGAGTATGGCCTGTCAGGGATATCTGATCATGCTCCAATGATTCTTCTTATGAAGCTGATCAGTTAACCATAAAGTGTCCATTTAGATTATTCAATGTTTTGGCAGATCATCAAGAGTTTTAACAGATGGTAGCAGACATTTGGAAACAAATAAGTGATCCTTGGGCTATAAGATGCATATGGAAAAAATTGAAAGCACTTATTAGACCAAGACTATGGCAGTTGAACAACAATGAATTTAGAACTGTGACCCAGAAGATAGAGGATGCAAGAAATGAACTTAAGACAATTCAGAGTAACCTGCAGCAGACATATAATGAGGTTATACTGGAAAAAGAGAGGCGAAATACATAAACGGCCCCTTCAAGTTGTCAACAAGACCAGCTGAACACCCCAACTAATCCATTTACCATTTAGACACTTTACGTGACTATTAAGTGTATCAAGTAAACACCCGAGTGCTAAAGACTCTATGCGTGAGCTACACTTTTCAATGACGTGTCAAATGAGCCAATTAAAAAATGACACGTGTAAATTGGAATAAAAAATTGCCACATAATTAAAAAAAAATACATTAAAGATGAAATAGAAACCTTCACCAGCACTACCCCTCCCCCCTCCCCCTTCCGACCTCCCCATTCCCCCTCCCTTTCATCTTCTTCTTTGCATCAGTCATGGTGAAGTACTACTTTTATTCTTGATTCTTTTTTCTAAATCTTGATAGCCCTTTCACTTGCCAGTTTAGAAACTCTAAGTATTTTCTTGGAAAACAATGGCTAATCCTGCAGTATGCCTCAAAAGCTCAGCTCTTCCTTCTGCACTTTGACAAAGCTGATCCAACAACATAAGCATCAATTCACAAGCCCTTTTGTCTGTCGAATCGTGGAGAAGATTCACCAAAACTCTGACTGCGTCTGCCTCCGCTGCTTTCGCTCTATTCCTCCCCCATTGACACACATTCACTAGAATCTGCAATGATGCTTTGGATGCCTTCTCAAAGATTTCATCACTCAAGACTTGAACCACTTGGGTGAAGAACTCTTGCTTTAAACTCATAATTTCAAATGAATTAAATGTTTTTTTCACTGCTCCGGCCAAAATTCCGACCACTGCTCCGGTGAAGGGTCCGCTACTCCTTTTTTCTCTCCCTCTATTTCTTTTGTTTTTCTCCTCTATTAATTATAGGAAAAATCAAGAACTCGAAAATCCAAAGACTAAAAAGTGACCCTAAATCCATTTGTCTTCAAGGTTATCCAAGGCTGAAGCTTGGTGGTTCGTCGTGTAAAAGTGAAAATAGGCGGCTGCTTATGAGGAAGAAGAAGATGCCTGAACTAGTTGGGTGAAAAAGGTTAGAGGAAAATATAATGATATAGTGTGGGACCCACATACAAAATTTAATTTGATTTTGAAAACAAGAGGAAAAAAATCTGATAAAAGTCTCACGCGCCCAAATTAAACTAAAATACACGTAACTTGCCATGTCAGCGTGAGGTGTCTACGAGATATGCTTAATAGTCACCTGAAGTGTCTAAATGGTAAATGAATTAGTTAGGGTGTTCAGCTGGTCATTGAGGACAACTTGAAGGGGCCGTTTATGTATTTTGCCAAAAAGAAAAGATTACATTACAGAACCTGGAAAAGTGGTCAATGGTTGAAGAAAGCATTTTGAAGCAGAAAGCTAGAGTTAAATGGATACAATTGGGAGATGCGAACACAAAGTATTTCTCAGCTGTAATGAAGGAAAGAACTCACAGAAAGCAGATAAGAGAGCTAACAACTCTAGATGGAAGAAGATTAATGAGCCTAAATAGATCAAAGAAGAGGCCATCAAGTTTTACTAGACTTTAATGGGAACAACTGCAGGAAGTCTTCTAGCAGTAAACAAAGTTATAATGAAAAAAGGCCCAACCCTGAATCAAAAACAAAGACTGATGCTATGTACAGAAATGACAAAGAAGGAAGTAGAAGCTGGACTGAAAGCCATAGGGGATGACAAAGCTCTAGGAGTAGATGGATACAATGTTGTCTTCTTCAAAAACAGCATGGCACATCATTGGTGAAGAGGTGACTAAAGTAGTGAGGGAGTTCTTCTCAACTGGAAGAATGTATAGAGATATTAATTGCACAGCCATTACCCTGATCCCAAAGACTGACAATCCAACAACAATCAAAGAATATAGGCCAATAGCATGCTGCACAATAGTATACAAACTAATCTCTAGGATACTAGCAGCAAGGCTATAAAAGTAATTGACAATATCATTTGTGAATCTCAAGCTAGGTTTATTCAAAGGAGAAAAATAGGAGATAACATCATCATAGCCCATGAATAAATTAAAGCTTTATACAAGGAAACATGTGTCAACAAGATGTATGATTAAAATAGACCTCCAGAAGGCCTATGACTCGGTTGAATGGAGCTACTTGGAACAAATTATGAACCTACTGGGATTCCCTGGTAAATTCATAGCTTGGGTGATGGAATGTGTAAAGACTGTGAACTATACTATAATGGTGAATGGTGAACCAACAGACCCCTTCAATGCTGCAAAGGGACTCGGGCAAGGAGAACCTATATCTCCCTCCATGTTGGCAATTTCAATGGTATATCTGAGTCGCAACTTAAAGGTGATGGCTGAGAAGAAAGCATTTCACTATTATCCTAGATGTGCAAAGCTGGAAATAACCCACCTATATTTTGCTGACCTGCTGATATTCTCAAGAGGTGATGTTTCTTCAGTAACAGAAGTACAACATAGTTTCAACCAGTTCTCAAAGGCATCAGGTCTGCAAGCAAATTTAGGAAAGAGATCCATTTATTTTGGAGGTGTGCCACAGGCTGAACAAGAGCTAATACCGAGCCAATTGCGGTTCACAAAGGGAGCACTACCATTCAAGTATTTGGGAGTTCCTCTATCTACAAAGAAGCTGATACTAATACAGTGGCAACCCCTCATTGAGAAGATAGTGGCAAGATTACATCATGGACAACAAAAAAACTATCCTATGCAGGAAGAGCTCAACTGATAGGAAGTGTGCTATTTGGGGTTCAATCCTATTGGGCACAATTATTTGTACTACCAGCAAAAGTGATGAAAATAGTGAAAAGTTTCTGCAGGAGCTACTTATGGACAGGCAACAATGTAATAACAAGGAAAGCGTTAGTCAACTGGGACAAAATTTGTTCTCCAAAAAGTAATGGAGGATGGAATTTGATAAACGTAAGAATATGGAACAAGGCAGCTATAATAAAGTTGTACTAGGATCTTGCAAGCAAAAAAGACAAGCTTTGGTTAAGGTGGATACGTACATACTATATAAAAGGGCAACAGATGGAGCATGTAACAGCACCAAAACAAGCAAGTTGGATGGTGAGGAAAATTCTGAAGCAAAGAATATCCTAGAGCAGGAAAGTATACATGTTTGCACATGCAATAGTGTCATTAACAAAATTTATCTACATTTGCTGGGAGAACAACCCAGGATTCCATGAAAGTGTATGATTTTTGAAAATGCTGGAAGATCAAAAGCTCGATTTACACTTTGGCTACAAATGCATAACAGACTACTAACATCAGATAGGCTAAATAGATGGGGTATGGTGATAAAGAACAAGTGCAACCTATGCCACCAAGCAGAGGAGTCTAGAGATCATCTCTATGTGGAATGTGACTTTATGAAGGCAGTGATGAACAAGATAATGCAATGGAGAGATAGCCAAAACATAGCAGTAGGGGAATGGGAACAACATGTGCAGGAAGTGATTAGGAGAGCTAAAGGAAAATCAAGAGAAGCCCAACTCTTCAAGATATTATACACAGAGACACTACACTGCATATGGATTGAGAGAAACAAAAGAATTTTTGAGAAGACAAGTGCAAGTTTGGAAAGAATAGCAAAGCAGATTGCATGTGTGTGTTGTGTGCGAGCTCCTCCTAGAATAACTGAGATAGTACATAGATACAGATTCTAATAGAAGTCTAGGAAGCGATATGAGATTCATTGCAAATATGATAGCTAGCTGAGTTAGCTAGCTACGGTTCTTTGTACAGTTATTACTGGTGATTAATACAAAAAGTTAGTTACAAAAAAAAAAGATTAGTATATAAAAATGTAGGATAAAGGATAAAATAAAATAATTTAATAATAAGAAAGGACAAGATGAGAGGAAAAATTAAGGTAACGATGCGATCACACCAAATCAGTCGTTACATAAAGTAGCACTTTTCGTCGCTACATAACGACAGATTTAACGATACGATATAATAAAATTTAAGTAACAATTAAAATAAAAATTGTATTTAAAGTAACAATACAATACAATACAATATGTAATAACCATCCAAACAAGCCGTAAGATTCTTTCATTATTCAGTTTGTTATGAATATATTTGATTACTCCTACTATTTACTAACTTCTTTACCGCTTTGTATCACATTTGACCTGCTTTACAGGTGAGTCCATTAGATTAAAAGGTGGAAAAAAAGAAGAAAAAAGAACAACTATCACGATATTTAAAACTTGCAAAGAGGTGGAGGTTGATATTTGATAAGCTAAAACAGACACTGCAGTAGTAAAATTAGATGTCAATTGAAATAGATTGAACTTTTATTTTCCATTGTTGGATAGATTATTTTGGCTGATTTACGCAAATGTTTCTGTTTTAGGCTAATGTTTAAATTTATCCCTATTCTAAAAGATAGTGCTACAGCTGCAAAGTGTTCGGGTGTCCACATCTATGGACTTGTTGAGCCCATTCATACAGCGCGTACTCGTAAAAATAGCACGGTATAGCCTGTTTTCGGACTGGTCAATCAAAAATAGCCAGCATTTACCAAGTCAATGAAAAATTGCCACTATTTTGCTGCAATAGAGACCGGCCCAGCATAATATACTGGAGTTCGGTGCACTTGTGTATGAACTCCAGCATATTATGCTGGACCGGTATACTTTGCTGGCTCCAGTATAATATACTGGAGACTGGAGCACGGTGCTCCAAACTCCAGTATATTATACTGGACCAATATACTTGCTGGAACTCCAGTATATTATGCTGGAGTTCTAGTGTACTTATGCTGGAACTCCATCATATTATGCTGGAGTTCCAGCATACTTATTCTGGAACTCCAGTATAATATGCTGGAGTTCAAGTATACTTATGCTGGAACTCCAGCATAATATACTGGAGTATTTTCCGGGTTTTGAACAGTGTTTTCGCTCAGATTTATCTTTATATAAAAAGTGGCTAAATTTCGATTACTTTTGAAATTGGGCTATTTTTGAACGACCAGTTGTAAATCTGGCTATTTTTAAAATTTACCCCGCGTACTCGTATACCTTTTTACGTTGCTCTAAACCTAAAATGCAGCGATAAATGATTCCTATATTGGGTTGGGCCTTCTATTAGTTTCCCAGTAAAACCAGTAAAAGTAGCATGGGCTAGCCAATTTTCGGACTGGTCATTCAAAAATAGCAGCGGTTGCAAAGTCATTGAAAAATAACCACTATTTTGCTGCAACAGGGACCGGTCCTCATAATATACTAGAGATCGATGCACTTGTGTATGAACTTCCAGCATATTATGCTAGAACTCCAACGCGCGAAAAGTTCCAGCATAATATAATGGAGATTGGAGCACCTGTGTATGAACTTCTAGTATATTATGCTGGACCAGTATATTATACTGGAACTCCAGTATATTATGCTGGAGTTCCAATATACTTATGCTGGAACTCCATTATAGTATGTTGGACTTCCAGTATACTTATGCTGGAACTCCATTATAATATACTGGAGTTCCAGTATATTATGATGGAGTATTTTCCGGATTTTGAATAGTGTTTTCGTTCAGATTTATCTTTAAATAAAAAGTAGCTAAATTTCAATTACTTTTCAAACTGTGGCTATTTTTGAATGACCACTTGTAAATCTGGCTATTTTTGAATTTCCCCGTAAAACCAAGATAGGCCATTTTCTAAAATTTTCGCAGGCAAATGAGGGGGAAGTACACAAGTAGCCATTTTTAAGGCTGCTATTTAGGGATTAGCTAGTACTTAATTTGTTCTAAACATTTGAACTAAAAATCTAACTTCAAGACATTGTGTCTTGAAAAATTAAATTTAAAAACTAAAAATCAGCACACACTGGCTAAATTCTAAATAGCGGCCTTCTAGAATGGCTACATTGTGTCATTTATGCGGCAACAACAACAACCCAGTAAAATCCCACCAATGGGGCCTGGGGAGGCTAGTGTGTACGCAGACCTTACCCCTACCCCGAAGGAGTAAAGAGACTGTTTTCGAAAGACCCTCGGCTCAAGAAAACAAAAGGACAAAAGGAGACAAATTAATATCACCACAGAAATCATAGGAAAAATAGGAACAACATGAAATCCAGAAGAAAGATGCAAAGCAAAAGCGATAGTTAGTAAATAGGTCCTACACTGGAAAGCGAATTAGTAAGACACAACATTGCCACTAGTTATCTTAGAAAAAAAACCTACCAGACTAGTCCCACAATGGTACGAAGTAAGGGAAGACTCAACTACCTCCTAACCTACAACCCTAATACTCGACCTCCACATCTTTCTATCAAGTGTCATGTCCTCGAAAATCTAAAGCCTCGCCATATCCTATCTGATCACCTCTCCCTAATATTTCTTAGGCCGCCCTCTACCTCTTCTCGTGCCCTCCACAATCAACCGCTTACACCTCCGTACCGGAGCATCTGGCTTCTCCTATGACCATGCCCAAACCATCTGAGCCTCGCTTCCCGGATCTTGTCATCAATGGGAGCCACGTGCACCTTCTCCCGAATATCATCATTCCTAATGTTATTCATCCTAGTGTGCCCGCACATCCACCTCAACATCCTCATTTCTGCTACTTTCATCTTCTGGAATCTAGATATATGAGTTCTTAACAGGCCAACACTCAGCCCCATACATCATTTCTACGGCAAATGACTAGCAAATAAAGAAAATAAAAAATATAGTTTAAGTTTATTACATATAGATCCTCTATTAATTCAAAGAAAAATTAGGGGTCGTTTGATTTTTACCACTCCGAAAATGAAAAATCCTAAGAAAAAATTTGTATTATTAATATAAGCGACACGCATATTAATATATATACTACGTTATATATGTTTATGTAATATTGAAAAGGCTATTAGATGGTATCTCACTTAATACATGATGTTATAGATTGTATTTATCAGTTATTCTATTTTGATCAAAGCTTTTATTGTCACAGGTGACATCCCTCTTACTGTGGTGACTGTTAAGTGTTCGTGTGAAAAAAAATATATTAAAACAGGTGCAATTCAATATTCCAGATGCATGATCATGTATTTTACTTTTTGCTATTACAAATTATGAACTGAAAATTGCTATTGCACAAATAATTATTCCAAAGGATATTCATTATTTTCCGTACACATAGTCAATTTCTTAACTAAGATATCACATAGTACGTTAATCCATCATAATTCATAATCATCTTAAGTTTATTTTCTTACATCTTAAGTTTCTTAATGTTTGTTATGGAAGATTTATGAAGGTGGATTTTAGTAGCGAGAGACGCCTTATAATGTTTAAAATATAAAGTATATATTTCCTCATGAATATAGCCGTAATAAATACTTTCTCCAGTTGATTTTTTAGTTCTTTCACACATATTTAGAAATTTACTCTTTAACATTAATTAATAATGAAATTGACCATATTACTCTTAATTTGCTCATTGAAAATGTAACAAACTACACATAGGCTCTCTACTTCAAGGACAACTTTGGGAAGAAAAATTAATTCCTTCTTGATATCTGAAAAAATCAAATATTGTGGACCACAAAAAATACCAAAAAATCACTTAAAGTGGACCGAAAGGAGTATGAAATATTAATTCTCCTTACAAGATTGAATATTTACCTACATAACTCGATATATGATGTCAGCTTTTTAAGAAAATTATTCCTGTCCATCCTTAGTGCACTGTGACAATGCTCTAGTTATTATTATTTATTTTTC